TAGCTCTTACAGCCCAAAGTTCCAGGCTACTCTAGTGCAGAGGCCCACACTTACAGTGTGCAGCCCATTTTCTCCAGTAGGGCCCTGAGGTCCAGCCCCAGGCTCCTGGCTCTATCCACAACACAGGCAGGGACTGGCGCCCAACACATGGGTTGTGGCTGTCACCAGAGAGGAATTGGCAGCAGACACAACAGACTATGTTTTCTTTGCAGGCTGAGGGTAACTAGAGGAAGCTGAGAATTCTGCTCTGCTTCAAGGAGGAGGGGAACAGAGGAACAAAGCATCGAGCTGAAGGGAGAATTCCTCTGATTTCTAAGACAAACATGGAGTAGAGACCAAAGATGCTGTGGGTACTAGGGCTCCACAAAATCCCTGAGTCCTGTTAGGAGCTTTGAAGTGTATCATGGTGGTAGCTAGCACTTCTTAAATGTTCTGTGCTAATCAATCAGTGAGCCCAAAGCGAGGTTATCCTGTGAAGTCAGTATGTACAGAGGCTGGGAACATCCGCCTCCACAACACACAACTGGGTCCAAGTCTTTCACTTTGCTACTCACTAACTCTGTGATTTTGAATAAGTTACTTAAGGACCCTGGGTCTCAGTTGCTTCATTAATAAAATGGGAATGTGACCAGGTGGTCATGGTGGTGGCGGCGCGCACTTGGGAGGCAGAGGCAGGCAGAGTTCGAGGCCAGCCTGGTCTACAAAGAGAGTTCCAGGTCAGGATCCAAAGCTACAGAGAAACTCTGTCTCAAACAAACAAACAAACAAACAAACAAAACAAAACAAAACAAAGGAATGCTAATAGCAGCGCACCAGTTTAGTAGAGTATGAAGATCAGAGCATTGACATCTGTAGAGCTATTAGTACATTGCCTCGTAGTAAGATCTGTCTATTCTGATTCTGTTCACGCAAAGCTCTGAAGTAGATATCCTTAATTGTGGAGGCTCCAGGAAGCTGAATGACTCTCCTGAGACCCCCAGGTCTATTTGATTGACAGGGCATGAGTGCCCATCTAAGTGCCCCTAGCTGGCCCCATCTTTAGGAGGAAGTAGATTCACAATAGATAGCTCTCCTTGGGTCCTATAGTCATTCTAGCTTGGAAACCACAGCCCCTGCCCCAGAACTGGAACAAAAGTGATCTCCACCCTGCCTCGGAGGGGCCTGCTTGCCCTCTGGGCCCAGCCAAGCAGGCCCCTCCCACGACTATAGCAACAGCCAGAACTGGGAGCCTCCTAGCAGCTACACCTGCATCATCAGCCCGGCCTCCCTTGGGGCCTCAACCTTCAAACCACAGCATCCCCACCCCAACCCCCAACCCCAGGTAGCCTGGAGGGACCCTTTTAATTTCAAGATAAACAAACTGTCATCTTGGCCCAGCCCTCTGCGGGCTTGCTGCTCCCCGCCCCCCTCAATCCGCAGTGCACAGCCGCTCTGTTCTCCTGCCAACTTGGCAGCTCGTTGCTGCTGTTACTATCAACACCTCTGAGGGAAAAGGGAGAGAAGTCGGTTCTTTTCGCCTAGTGCACTGTGCAACAAATTCATGTTGAGCCAGAGCACTCTGGAACGTCTCCAAAGTTCCGAAGAATCCGGGTGGGACAAGAAAGGTGGGATCTGACGGGGGGAGGGGCTTGTCCTGCCTCATCTTGGTATGCCAGACTTTATTGACTCCCTAAGGAAGGCCTTACCTGCTCTGAGGAGTGGATGGGGGAGAAAAGGGGGAGGCGGGAGAAGGGGAGTGAGGGGGAACTGAGACTGGTATGTAAAATTAAAAAAATTTAATTAAAAAATTTTAAAAGAAAAGTAAAGCGTTACAGAAAACAGAGAGGGCTGGAGATCAGCCCTGGGTCGGATGGGAACAGCCCCCTAGGAAGGCCACTGGAAGCAGGGGAGGACACCAGAACCCTTCCCCGCCACAGCCCCCATCAGGGAGTGCTAGGACGGGTGGCAGGTAGGAAGAGCTGCTGAAGGCTGCGGCTGGGGCCTCAGAGGCCAAGGCGGTCAATTGATCTTGCTTTCACCTCAGTTTTTGCCACAGTCCAAGGAACGTGGATGACTTCAATTCAAGAGACGGTGGGTCAAGGTTTTGTGGTCTGAGTAGGAAAATGTCTTTTGGTTGTTTTTCATTTTTGTTTTTTCATTTAGACTCAGTTTGGCAATGTGTGGTCTGGGTCTTTTTCTTTCGTCATCCTCTGACTCCTCTACCAGTTTAGAGTGGGAGCGGGAGGGAGCTCCCTGGTTGGAAGCTTTCTAAGGTCTTTGTCATTGTTGCTTTTTTTTTTTTTTTTTTTGTGACAGGGTTTCTCTGTGGCTTTGGAGGCTGTCCTGGCATTTGCTCTGTAGACCATGCTGGACTCGAACTCACAGAGATCTGCCTGCCTCTGACTCCGAGTGCTGGGATTAAAAGCATGCGCCACTAATGCCCGGCGGAAACTTTCTAAGGTCAACCTTTTCCTTTACCCAACCCGCTCGTGCCACTCAGGCCCAGTCCATTGACTTCATAACGCTCCTGGTGCCCAGGCGCCGGTCTCTGCCTCCTGCTAGGACTCCCGGGTAGGGTTGAAGGGGGGGGGGGCAGTTTGGAAGAACAAAGAACACCTTCAAGGACACAAAGAAAAGCCCGGTGATAGGTCAGTCACCCATGTCTTGACGGGACCAAGAGGTGGTCACCACTGTGCAGCCTCTCCAGCCTTCTTCCTTCTAGCTAAGGGAAAGCCCGTCGTACTTCCTGCCCCAGTGCCTTTGGTATCAGCCACAGAGATGCGCGCAGGAAAAGCTCCCGAATCTTACACCAGCAGGCTGCCCAACCCACCCAAGACAGTGGTCCTGATTCCCAGTCCAATATCGTTATAGAGCCTGTTTGCTCTTCTATAACAGAGAGAACTTCAGGCACCTCAATGGGCTACAGACTGCAGGGATGAAGACATGAAAATGGTGAAGACACGAAAAGCGATTGGGTAGTGCTTTCCTCTACATCGTTCTTCTGTCTGCCCCTCCCCCCCCCCAGAAGCCCAGATGTGAACTGATACCAAGATTATTTCCGGCCCCAGGAATCTGAAAGCCCTCACCTTCCTGCTAAGACCTTCCCAGCTCCCCAGAAAGCCTTCAGACTCTGCCAGGGGCTGGCTACAAGAAACAGAATTCAGCAGGCTGGGATGGAAATAAGCCCTGAGAGGCTGAGCCATTCCGGGCTGCACCTGTGAGCAGGCCCTCAGATGATGCCCTGTCAGCGTTTCCATGACAAACTCACATTTCCGGGTGTTTCTCTTCTAGCTTGAAGAGCATGACTCTCAGCAAGGCTTGATACTGAAAATGCATTCTGGATTTTTTTTTCCCCAAAAAAAGATTGCACACTCCGTTAAAAACTATGTTCTCCTTATATGTGTTTGCTCTTTATTCTGAACGTTTTGCAGTTTAACGTTTGTTATGAGTTACATGAAAATAGCTGAAACACTTGGGAAGCTCTGTGGTGCAAAACGACTGATGAATGTACACAGCCACCACACAGTGTGGCAAGACCTATCTCCGCAAGATGTCTTCTGCAACCATTTGCCTGTCTCAAAACCTGAAATTCCAGTCATGTTTTCTACTTTTGAGCTTGAAGAAGTCCCAGCCCCAAGTGTCCACTGTAACAATACACATACCTCTAAGATAACTGACTCAGGAAGGCCACCAGCTCCCAGCTGGTGGATAAGGAATGAGGAGGACAATTTTCAGGCATCTAAAAGGTCAGTGGAAGGGCAGAAAGGCAGTAAAATAGAAGATAGAGGTTGCTGGACAGCTTACATATTTTATAGTTTGGTAGGCTTCCCTATAGGAGTATACTCATACATGTATATACATACACACGAGACATACGTGCACAGGCTCACACAGAGACATGCACTTGCACATAGAGAGGGAGAGAGAAAGAGACAGATGCGCTGGAGCAAGTACACACAGAGACATGCACTCCTGCATACAGTGACAGAAACAGAGCCCTGCACTCATTTACAGACCATACACAGAGGGAGTGGTCCTCTACCCTCCACCTGTGCTGTGTCATGTTTACCACTCCCACAATTAAAAATTTCAGTAACTAAAAGTAACTTTAAAAGGAATTTGAAGCCAGGCGTTGGTGGCACATACCTTTAATCCCAGCACTCAGGAGGCAGAGGCAGTTGGATCGCCGTGAGTTCAAGACCAGCCTGGTCTGTAGGGCGAGTTCCAGGACAGGCTCCAAAGCAATACAGAGAAACCCTGTCTCAGGAAAAAACAAAAAGCAAACAGGAATTTCAATCATTTTATTTTTTTAAATTGTTTTAGATACTCTCATGTCGCCCAGGCTGTCTTCAGTATGTAGCAAAGGATGACTTTGTATTCTGTATCTCCTACATCCATTTGAGCAGGCCACCACATTCAGCTTAGGGTTTTGTTTTTTGGGGGGAAGCAGAGGGGGTTCGAGACAGAGTTTTTCTCTGTGGCTTTGGAGGCTGTCCTAGAACTAGCTCTTGTAGACCAGGCTAGCCTGGAACTCAGAGAGATCCACCTGCCTCTGCCTCCCAAATGCTGGGACTAAAGGCGTGCGCCACCACTGCCTGGCCAGCTTAGGGGTTTTTGTTTGCTTTTTTGTTTTTTGAGACAGGATTTCTCTATGTGTACCCCTAGCTGTCCTGAAACCAAACCAGGCTGACCTCGAATTCACAGAGATCCCCCTGCCCCTGCCTCCAAAGTGCTGGGACTAAAGGAGTGTGCCACCACTGCCTGGCTTCAGCTTAGTTTCATATTTCTGTTTTTGTTTTTTAGGTTAGTTTGTTAGTTTGTTTAGTTTTATCTTTTGATTGATAGGGCCACTTTGCAGTGTTTCTTTTTTTAAATAATAATCTTTTTTTAAAGGCAAATCACTTTTTTTAAAAAGATTTATTTATTAATTATGTATACAGAGTTCTTGTCTGCATGTGTCCCTGAAGAGCAGAAGAGGGCACCAGATCTCATTACTGATGGTTGTGAGCCATCATGTGGTTGCTGGGAATTGAACTCAAGACCTCTGGAAGAGTAGCCAGTGCTCTTAACCTCTGAGCCATCTCTCCAGCCCACTTTGCAGTATTTCTTAGTCTTTTTCTCTCATTCTTGCATAGCCACAGCTTTCCTCATGCCCACAGTTGCCGTTTTCCAGGACTCTAACACCTCCTCAGGTCAAAACAGAAAACTCAGTCACGTCCTGAAAGAAGACCAAGTCAGCCATCAGCAAACTCCAACCATCCTTCGAAAGCCTTTCCCTATCCCACAACTACACACATTCCTGTTTCCATTCCTGAACTGATCAGACTCTTTTTTGTTTTGTTTTGTTTGTTTGTTTGTTTTTCAAGACAGGGTTTTTCTGTATTGCTTTGGAGCCTATCCTGGAACTTGCTCTGTAGACCAGGCTAGCCTCAAACTCACAGAGATCCCCCTGCCTCTGTCTCCCGAGGGCTGGGATTAAAGGCATGGGCCACCACCAACAAACAGCTGAACTAATCAGACTTGAGCACACTGTCTTACAGGGTTTGTCATGTCACTGGAAGGGAAGGGTAACTTTGTCCTTAGGCCAAGTGTAAATACTGCTCCCTGAAAGAGATAAGTCAGTTAACTGTGATTAATATTTCTATTATGTGCAAGATGCTGTACTAAACCCACTAGATGATGTTTCAATGCTAGCTCTTACCCTTGAGTATGAATATATTGAGTATCAAGGGAAGGAAGCATGAGGATCTGTGTTTGATCTCCAGCACCCACAAAAAAAGCCTGGAATGGTAGCCACAAGCTGGTAATGCCAGAGCTGGAGATTCAGAGACAGTGGATCCCTTCCAAATCCCTCAGATATCTTGACAAAAGAGCCCTGCAACAAAAAAACAAGCTAAGCAGCTCCTGAGGTCAATGTCATAATGTTGCCCTCTGGCCTCTACATGCATTTACACACACCTAGGACCAGTGCAACCCCCTTCCCCCCCTCCCCGCCCCCACAAACACACAATCCCAAAAGAAGACTGCTCATTCTGGGCTCCAGAGAGGCTCTGGCTTAGAGGAAACAAGCAGGAGGTGGAAGCAGATAAGGCCACACGGAGGATGGAGAGGAGAGGGAGGGCAGAGGATATTGAGAATTAAACCCAAGGCACACACTAACAAGTAGATAGAGAAGCAGCAGCTAGTGAGGCAGGAGGGTGACTCCAGAGTCCTGGGAGCATCTGAAGAAAGTGGAGAAGACAAAGAGAAAGGCATAAACTAATCAAGGACAAAATTCTACTGATGGGTCGACAAGAATGGAGGATTAACTATCAAATCTGTCAACATGGAAGTCACTGTTGATCTTGGGAAATGTGGTTTTGATGTCATAGTTGGGACAGAAGCCTGATTGGAGTGTAGAGAATGGGAAGGGAGGAAGTAGGAACAGTATTTTTCCTTTTTTAGAGATCTATTATCATTTAAAAATAGTATTCTTTATGTGTATGAGTGCTTTGCCTGTGTGTTTGTCTGTATACCAGAAGCATGCCTCGTGTCCACAAAAGCTAGAAAGGGGCATCAGCTCTTTTTGGAGTAGAGTTATAGATGATTATGAGCAGCCATTTGGGTGCTGGGAATTGAACCCCGGTCCTTTGGAAGAACAGCCAATGATCTTAACATTTGAGCCATCTCCCAGCTACTATTCTTATTAAATTTTTTTTGCGGTTTTGTGTGTGTGTGTGTGTGTGTGTGTGTGTGTGTGTGTGTTTGTGCACACCCAATGTGCAGTTGCTCATGGCTCACAGGGACATCTTCCTGGAGTTGGAATTGGGAGCCACTGGACATGGGTGCTGACAATCAAACCCAGGTGCTCTGTAAGTACTCTACTGTGTTCTGAGTCATCTGTCCAGTACCACCACCCCCAGTATAAAGTTGATGTAGTTTGTTTGAAAAAGGGTCTCTATGTGTAGTTCCAATTGGCCTAGAACTCACAGAGATCCACCTGACTCTGTCTCCCAAGTACAGGGATTAAAGGTGAGCTTCACCAGGCTCAGTGTAGATATTTTTAAACTGGTTAAGCGTGGTTAGCAGACAAGTGGTGACGTGAATGAGGGGGAATGGAAGTTTTTTTTTAAGATGAGTTTTTATATCCCATTAGCATGCTGATGAGAACAATCCCCTTGAGAGAGAACATTTGATGATGCAGATGAGAGGATAATTGCCGAGTGATGCCTTTAATAAGCAAGAGGGGAAGAGAATCCTGTACAAGGGGAGGGGCTGGCGACAGACAAACGTGTGGATGGTCCATTCACAGCACATGGAGGAAAGATGATGTGTGGGTCTGCCCAAGGGGAGTAGGTATTTTTGGTGTTGGATAAGGACTATTTTCTGATTTTTCTTTTTATTCTAAGTGGGAAGAAAATGATGTCATAAGCTGAAAGTGAGATGTGGGCAGAGCTACGTGGAGGTCTGGGAAGAGAAGATATGTCACGTAAGCAACCACAGGGATTAAAAGCATTGGTTCAGCATGGTGGTGAATCCCTTTGGTCCCGGCTCTCGGGGAGAGAGAGGTAAGCTATTCTCTGTAAGTTCAAGAACAGCCTAGTGAGTTCCAGGACAACCAAAGAACCTGTCTCAAAAAACAAAAAATGAGAGATTGAGCCACCACATGTGGTTTACATGCAGGGCTGGTGTTTTCACCCAGGGCTTCATGCATACTGGAAAAGCATTCTATCCAATGAGCTACTCCCCCAGCCCCTTCATGTACTGCTAAATGATAAAGATACATTCTTAGAGATGTGTCATTAGGCAATTTTATTTTATGAAGTTTACTTCATAATTATGGTGGCACTGGGTGATATAATCTTAGGGAACTTCCACCCTATGTATGGCCAGTCATTGATAGAAATGCCATTTTATCTGTGCATGACTATAAGGTTGAATGAAATCAGGGAGGCAGGACTCTACTCTGCTAGAAGTCATGTCCTCTGTGTATGTGTGCCAGTGTGTGTGTGTGTGTGGTGCATACACATTTGTGTATGTGGCTGTATGTACCCTTCCTTGTGTAAAAATGTGGAAAGCAGAGGATGATTCTGATTCTGATGTCTTCCTCTATTACTCTTTATCTTTAGAGCTTTTTTGTCTGTCTGGTTAGTTTGGGTATTTTTTGTTTGTTTTGGGTTTTGGTTGTTGCTGATGATGTTGCTGTTTATTTGTTTGAGACAGGGTTTCTCTGTGTAGCCCTGGCTATCCTGGAACTCTTTTGTAGACAAGGCTGGCCTCGAACTTAGAGATCCACCTGCCTCTGCCTCCTGGGTGCTGGAATTAAAGGCATGTGACACCACCACTGGGATGTTTTGGGCCTTTTTTTTTTTGTGAGATGGTGTCTCAGGAAATTGCTTACTGTAGGCTAGGCTGTCTGCTGGCTGGTAGATCTCCACAGCTTCAAGAGTCTATCCTTTTTTATAGACTGGTCCTCACTATGTAGCCTCTAACTCATGGGCGACAGCCTCTGTCGCCCGAGTGCTGAGATGAAAGGTGTAAGCCACCACCGCCTATGAGTCCTGCCCTTTAAGATGAGAGAGCTCAAGGCAACTCTCTCTGTCCTCCTATCAGTGCATGCTCTCAGGAAATACCATGGGGAGGGAGTGCTTAGCTGAAACCAAACTGACCAGAACTTTCATCTTCAACTTCTGGCCTTCTGTGTGAGGTGTGGGAGAATAAATTTAATGTTTCAGCCATCCAGCATTCGGTGTTTTGCTGTGACAGCCTAAGCATATTCACACAAGTTTCAAAGAACACACAGACCTATTCTAACATCACACGAGGGCCCAGACAACATGTCAGTCTTGGTTGTTTGCCTTTGGCTTTTTTTAATACATGGTCTGAACTCTTAGACAAGGCTGCCTTGAACTTTCAATCATCCTCCAGTGCTAGGATTACAGTCTGTGACAGGCTTACATCCGAGTGTCTATTGTGATGGAACACAGTAGTAGCCTGAGAAGTCAAGGAGGTGGTGGTTAAGAGGGCTCGGTGATTGGGAGGGGTGGTCCCTGCAGCTGGAGGAACATAGGCAGTGCTGGTAACGGTGCCCACTCTCTGCCTCTTTAGGATAAACTCAGTGATTAAGGTGGCTTCTTGGGATCAACAACAACAAGAGACAACTGGGAATTCTCTGGGTTTTAAGAGCTGTGTCAGAAGCTGAGGACAAAAACAAACTATGAGGCTGGTCAGATGATTTAGTGGATGAAGGTCCTTGACACCAAGTCTGAAGACCTGAGTTTGACCACCATTATCCACAGGGTGGGAGCAGAGAACCAGTTCCTGCAAGCTATCTTCTGCCTCCTACACATGCATTCTCTATGGCACAACTGAATCCCTCCCATGTGCAAACTAACAATACATACATGTAATTTTGTTTGGTTTTTTTCAAGACAGGGTTTCTCTGTGTAACAGTCCTGGCTGTCTTAGAACTCTGTAGACCAGGCTGGCCTTGAATTCAGAGATCTGCCTGCCTCTGCCTCCCAAGTGCTGGGATTAAAGGCATGCCCCGTCATTGCCCAGCTCATAAATGTAATTTTAAAAGTATATTTGCTTTATACCACAACTAGCCCTAGGAAGTGGTAAATGATGTCAGATACTCTGTTACAGGGGAAGCCACTGACATACAGAATGGTTAAATGACTTGTGAATAGGCACACAGCCAATAAGGATCCAAGTAGACAAAGTCAGAATTGCCTTAAATGAAAGAAAGCAGGCTCTTCAAGGAGGATCCAATACAAGACATTTTCCTTTTTTCTTTAGTTGTTGTTTGAGACAGTCTCACTATGTAGTTCTGGCTGTCCTGAAACTCACTATGTAGAGCAGGCTGGCCTCAAACTCATAGAGATCCACCTACCTCTCTCTCCTGAGTATTCCCTTTATTCTTATACTATATGCCTGGGTGTTTTGTCTGCATGTTATATCTGTGCACCAACTTTGTACCTCGTGCCCTCTCAGAGACCAGAGAAGGTTTTGGATCCCCTGGGACTAGAGTTACAAGTGGTTGTGAGCTCCCACCTGGGTGATAAGAATCAAACTTGGATCCTTAATAGGAGCAGCCAGTGCTCTTGGCTGCTGGGCCATCTCTCCAGTCCCATAAGGCATTTTTATGTACTTGTTTATTTTGTTGACAGGACCTTTACTATGTGCTCCTGGATGTTCTGGAACTTACTAAACAGACTAGACTGGCCTCTAGCTCAC